GTCATCTTGCGCCCCCGCTCTCGAAGAAGTGTTCTTCTTCTTGTGGTTTTCATAGCCAAAGATGGGTGGACCCTCTGCACTATGTAGTGACGGATCCTGCCGGAATGGGTAGCTATCCCATGCCAGCCCCGATAGGGTCTATTCCCTCCAGTCAGCAGTCTTTCCTAGCTGTCACTAGGTCTTTCCCTGGTTGTCAGCTGCCCTTTCACAGCAGTCACTGGTTTAACCAGGTAGTTTAGTTTGCATTAAAAAATGTACATCGGTTGCACATATTAAAGTTATGTTTACTCAACAGTTTGCATGATAGGACTAGGTGTTATGATCCCAATATTCAGCACCATTTAGCTGCACTATAGAACATTTTCTCCTTCGCTGTGAGCAGAACACAGCGAGACGCAGCAATTGTTACGCTCTAATTTTGGTTCAGCAAGAATCCAGGATCATGGCCTAATCCATGTCCGTGGTTCTTGCCTCAATACCCAATAATCAGTCATGTATTTACAATTGCTTTATGCGTGACTGGGGAACAATAAGAAAAAGGATTAGTATGGTAAGATGGATAGATGAAGAAAGTACAATTCTTCACTGCAGTCATCGGGTGGGGATCCTTGACGTTTTGATGATATGTTATGCTGTACATGATGTGTACTTATCTTTCATGGATGTTGCCAGTGAGTAGGGGTTGCACCACTACTGATTTCTGCTAGTCGATTTCTTATTTAAAAAATACTCAAGTTACTCGACTACTCGTGGTTCATGCTACTGTAAATGAAAAGACATGAAATAGTTCTTATCAATAAACGCTTATTAATTCATAGCCTAATGCAACAATTACATATGTAAATTGTCAAAACTTTATAATTATGACATTACATATTTTAATTTTCATGTAACAGCCAGTATCTGTATTTGTATCTGTAACAATCACAAAATTATTCGTATTTGCATTCGGATAAAACCAGATGGAACGTCGTAGCCTACAGTTACTTGATAAGACCGTTATGACTATCTTTTTTTTTCATAGTTATCACTGAACAAGTATGCCGTGTTAAACTAAAATAATTATTAATTTCTAAAAATATATTTATCATGCAAGCAGAGAGATGTCATGACAAACGTTTAGTGATCATTTGAACACGACTGAATTAATTCAATGTGCACATTTTCATTAAGCAGAACTCTTTAAGCGAGTCTTTTTTTAAACTTCACTAAACAAATGGGCATGTGCCACGCAAACCAGCAAATGATAAAGATGCAAACATGTAGGCCTAGTAGAAAATGTATCTGTATCTAAGTTGATTATTAGCCTACTCTTGATAGAGAGCTGGTTTGGTTTTTGAGAGTCTGCCTCGTACACACCGCTGATGGCCTGCACCCCAGCAGAGTCGGAGCGGAACTCATGTCGGACAACATCTCCAGGACGCTACGCTCCATATGACTAGTAAGTCAAATCTCAAATAACTGCCCTGATGACTTGTGTTCTACCCGCTTAAATGATAGAAGTACTTGTGCTGTCCAATCTATAAAGACTGTGTCTGTTCCCAGAATAGTGAGGTCAAAATATAAATTCAATGCAGGATCTAGAAAAAATCTGATAGTGATTAAACCAGAAAAATGTAAAATAAATGAACAAAAACAATTTTTAAAGTTTGGGCTCCTAAACATTAGACCACTCGCAACCAAAGCAGTTATCAGTGGTGGACGAAGTACACAAATCAAGTGCTTGAGTAAAAGTACAGATACGTATAATAAAATATTACTCCAGTAAAAGTAAAAGTACTCCTTTTTCAATTTTACTCGAGTGAAAGTACAAAAGTACTTGATTTTTAACTTTATAATTATGACATTACATATTTTAATTTTCATGTAACAGCCAGTATTTGCATCTGTATTTGTATCTGTAACAATCACAAAATTATTCGTATCTGCATTCGGATAAAACCAGGTGGAACGTCGTACAGTTAATTGATAAGACCGTTATGACTATCTTTTTTTTTCATAGTTATCACTGAACAAGTATGCCATGTTAAACTAAAATAATTATTAATTTCTAAAAATATATTTATCATGCAAGCAGAGAGATGTCATGACAAACGTTTAGTGATCATTTGAACACGACTGAATTAATTCAATGTGCACATTTTCATTAAGCAGAACTCTTTAAGCGAGTCTTTTTTTAAACTTCACTAAACAAATGGGCATGTGCCACGCAAACCAGCAAATGATAAAGATGCAAACATGTAGGCCTAGTAGAAAATGTATCTGTATCTAAGTTGATTATTAGCCTACTCTTGATAGAGAGCTGGTTTGGTTTTTGAGAGTCTGCCTCGTACACACAGTTGCTTTGACACAATCTGTATTGTTAAAAGCGCTATATAAATAAAGGTGACTTGACACCGGGATGATTATCGCGCGCACTTATCGTCAACGTTTTTCGACGCGTCTTTTGTGTATCAATGTGTGCTCGGCAAGACCGTTTTGTGCTTGAATGCCACCAAGTCGTGTTTTACTGTAACTTCAGCAGCTCCAGCCACGTGAACAAAAGCACCAATCTCATTGGTCGGCCAGTTTTTAACGCGGTGCATCAAACCAAATAAACGTGCCGGAGGCGGTTTTTAAAAAATGACGCTTTTACGCCTTGCGTTTTGCGTGTCGGTGTGCACACTCACATTGGCGCCCTTTGTTTAGTCACGAGG